CCACCAGAAGATCAACACTGGTCTCTGTAATGTACAAACCACAAGGGTATGAGTCAGTATGGTCTTATTTCAGAAAGTATCACCCCACTGACAAGACATTGTATCCCTAAAGATATAAAAAGGTACTTTAATTTCTGAGTGTGTAGCATGTGGCTGTGTTATCACCTCCCCGCTAATTGGAGCCAGTGTTTCCTTTGCTTTGGTGATGTCAGCCTTACAGCATTGTTTCGGGGAACTTAGGGGGGAAATTTATATCGAAGGATAAAAGAGTCCATTTTTCCTCTTTACTTAATGCACTTTTTTTTCTAGCACAAGACCTTCGAGGCAATTCTGACGTTCATTTGAGACTTGTATTATTTATAACTTTGATTTAGATGAAACACTGTTGGAGTGCTTTGTCTGGTGAAAAAAAAGGCTCTCTCACATCACTGCAGCTCTTAAAACTCCACCTTGTGGTTTAAGTCATTGACCCTCCCTCTCCTCTATTCATCGTTCAACAAATGGCGATGCCCGGAGAGAGGCTTGCCTCTATTCCCTGCTGCGCTTTCCATTAGAAGTACTGACACACAATAGAGCATTTTTAAGCCTTTGACATTGCCATTGTAATGGACTGGGGTCATGGCATGATATGTAGGATGTAATGCATAAAACGCTGGTTAAGTACACACTGCTGTTCTTTATGGCTTTCAAATTATAGGGAAATCTTTTCACCTTTGTCCAAGGTGCTGCTGCACAGGAGTTCACATGAATTCATTATCCTCGAGTTAATCATGTGACCCCGTGACCCAGCGCACACAGCGCAGGGATACTCATTCATATATAGCAGACCCAAAGTTCAATGACAAAGCAACATTTATTGGAAAAGCTGTAAATTGAAAAACACACAGTCAGAGGAACGTCGGCGCTAGTGTCACTGCTGTCACCAAGTGAATTCACTATATGGATTTCAGACTGCTCTGTGGCTATTTCATACTACGTGATTTTCACAGGTTGTTTTTTGACACAGCTTAGCATAAAGACTAGAATTGGACCGGTTTGTTATTGAACTACCGCTTGAAGCTCTGTGCTGGTGCCTTATTACCTTATTTGGTAAGGTTAACCTGTAATTCACTATGATAAAAACTAGAACTCTAATTCTGAGTAGCCTGAAAAAAGAAATGAATATTTACCAGAGAAATGGAATGGCCAATTCTTTAACCACAACTTGAATACAGCTGAATGTTGAACCAGAGAAGGGCACCCATCTGTCACTTATAGCAGTGACTCCCCTCAGCTATGTATAACTTTAAGCTTTCAATAACATATTTGCTGAATGTTCCTCAAAAGTTAAACGAATATGAGCTGTATATGTTTAAAACACACTGATAAATAACATGTTAAATGCACATTCATCATGTCAAAAATGAGAGATATGGATCGGTTGATTAACATATGCTGACTGTATTTCTTTTAGGCTAGGAGGAGAGAGCAGAGGAGAGGAAGAGCGTGGCAGATTGATGAGACTCCATAAGAGCAGGAAAGGTGAAGAAGAGGCAGACAGAAGTGACGGAGTTTAAAAGGGGCCAAGATCGTAGAATAGAAGCAGGAGCTCTGAGACCAGGGTTGGTAAAGCTCAAAACTGAACTAAATCATTTACGTGTCAGCATACAATCTCACAAATGACTGCTTCACCAACATCTTGCTTTTATTTATTTTTTTCCGAGGTTCTACGGCTGCTGCTTAAAAAAACATCAACAAAGGTGAAGAACACACTTTTTAATTTCAGCATCAACCTGATTTGACCTTAAGGTACCGCGGTGTCTGACACTTTCCATAAAAAGAACATTTTGGTAAGGTTCATGGAAAGTTCAGGGTTTTGGATAAAACTTGTAATTTTAATTAAATATTATAAAAAATCACATAAAAAATGAACACTAAGGGTATGGAATCGACAAGACTAAAATACATTTAAGAGGAAATAGTAAATTATTGGAACCATGATAAGTGGATGTTTATTATAATGTTTCCGGTAATAATATCTTGGGTAACTACAGTGGGGCAAAAAAGTATTTAGTCAGCCACCGATTGTGCTTTCTCTCACAGTTGAAGTGTACCTCTGGTGCTAATTACTGACCTCTGTCATCATTTTAGGTGGGGGAACTTGCACAATCGGTGGCTGACTAAATACTTTTTTGCCCCACTGTATGACAACTCTTAGATCTAATGTGTCTAAGCCCAGTGCTCAAGAGAAATGCTGAATTTTAGATAATAGGAGAAAAACCAGTGGGCATTAAGCTGTCGACAGAAGCAATACAGATAAATATAATGTACCTAGATGGAACCGAAAAGTGCTTTTCAAACTTTCCATGATCATTTTGCATCTTTTCCCCTCAGTGAAGCAGTCACAGTTAGAATCTGCTGTGCAGTAATTGATCCAAAGTAGCCTCAGCTGCAGGTTTCTAAGTAGCAATGGTGTAAACTATCAAACTGCTGCTTTCAAACAGCAGGGAGAATCCTGACAATTAGAATCAAATTTGTTGATTTTCCAGATTGAGTGTCACAAGAAGGCAGACATCTGAACCATAAGTGGACATTTACACAACTCACCAAATGTGATTATGTGTAATGTTTCTGTTGCTCTCTTGCCTCACATATAAATAACAAATAAAGATTAAAAATCAGAAGCATCTCCAGCCACAAATTCCAGAGTTATAGTTATACTTGCACCATCTATAAAATTCAATTCACTGTGAATGCAAGCATTGTATATGCACAGTTTTCCTGCATATACAATACCTGCATGACTTGCTAATACTCAGAGGAAAACCTCTGACTATCCTCTATTCACATCTATAAAGGGGATTCATAATGTGTATGGGGCTGGGGCAGAGATATCATCATGCAAATGCACAACTAACATTTAAAAATAGGTGTCTGCTATCTATCATGCAGTGATTGTGAGACTGATGAAATTGACATTTTTCACATGCTCTCCTAGCACATGTCCATTTCCTCATGCAATGGAAAACAAATTCCTAACTGATATCATCAGCACTTGTAGCACACATGGACACGGCAGAGCAGACTTATTCAGACCAATCAGGTGAAAGTGAGAAGTGTCTACAAATTGTAATGTAAAATTACAGTTTCCCACACAGTATAAATAGTACAAAAATAAAGTGTCCCATATTTGTGCTGGTATGTGCGCATATACTGTTGCCTAGCAATTATGTGCAAGCATCTCAGGTTATGTTGCAATGCAAATTTCTAATAACTACAGGAAATAATTCAGTAACGCAAACGTTAGTCACGGAGTTCCACAGGGTTCTGTGCTGGCTCCATTACTCTTTACATTGTACATGCTTCCCTTAGGCAGTGTTTTCAATATATCAATTGAAAACACTGCATACATGATCATTGCTATGCAGATGACAAACACCCTTATTAATCTGTGGAACCATGCAGAAATGCCTTCATTCATTTGTGCCAATATCACTAAAATTAGAAACATCTGGTCTCAGACTGATGCTGAAAAACTACTTCCTGGACTATTGTAATAAAGCTTATGTGTTAGTTTAATAAGGAATCACTCATGTGCCTGCTAGGTTATTCATTACATCACCACCACTTTCCCATGCTGTCAATGTCAATACAGACATCTTTACTTTAGTCCAATCATCTTCTTGCCTGCCTTCTTTGAGCCAATCAGCCTCCACTCCACTCTGCATCTTTGTTGTCATTCTCCTTTTTAGGACTGGGAGGTCTGGTGTGGAACCTGTCGTAATAGCTGTGTGGCTGAGATGCTGGATTCAGGAGATAGAAACCCTCTCTAGACTCAAACTTTACTTTTAGATTAAGCTTATAGTTGGATCAGGCAATCCTGAAACATCCCATAGTTATGCTGCAACCTGTTGTGGCAGACTGGTTCTGCTGGAGGTTTCTCTATGTTAAGAGGGAGTTTTTCTTTCCCACTGTTGCCAAGAACCAACCAACCATTGGAGGGTTGCATGATTGTTGGGGTTTCCTTCTAATATTGTAGCTTGTGCAAGTTACCTTAGAATATAAAGCCCCCTGGAGGTGGTTGTTGTTGTAAATTGGTGCCATATAACTATAATGGAACTGCACTGAATTGAAATTGAATTCTTTTAGTCATGTCCCCACCAGTGAATGAGTAAATTAGCATTTGTGTGTCGCATAAACTTGTGAAAAACCTTCAATGTTGCACCAAGCTGATAGATTCCAAGTGTTTGTAGCCTACAGTGTTTTGGTAAGCAATGTCTCTAATAGGAATTTCTGTTTTTCACTAGCTGTGATGCAATTCGCCTTTCTCTCCAGAGAGCAGTGTTCTTCTGTTGCACAATTAAGCTCTGTAAATAGCTCACCCAACATTGATTGCGTGTGTACAGACACATCCAGCTGTTCATATTGTTTCCAGAGTCGAGGACCTTCGGGATGGCTACCAAAGGGTCCATTACCAACACCTGAAGGTTGCACGTGTGAAAACCGCAGCCGCTCAGCGCTGCAGTTAAAGCAAACCTGGCTGAGTGATGACAGAGTATTTGAGGCAGATGCGAGCCACACAGTGAGAGTCCTCACACTGACACTCTCCACTCCCTGCTATCAACCATCAGACATGATTACAGCTCCCGCTTCTTGATCCAGTGCCTGGCTGAGCCCACTGCTTTGATTTCTCGAGATTCTCTCCTACAGCCGAAGTAATCTAACAAGATGCTCGACTCAGACAGAGACTTGACCCTGGTGTGGTATTTGTTAAAGTCATGCTACAAATGGGAACAATTTGTCAGACATCTTTTACTTTATTCAGATTGAATGAGGACATTTCACAAGGTAGTTCTTTCTCTCAGCTCATATTTTACTGATGGCTGGAGGTAAAGGCAGAGACTTCAGTCAGGAATTCATCTGCAGGGACCTACAAATAGTACCGCGGGTAGCGAAAACATTAATAATCTCCTGGCAGTGATGGCTGCGACCAGACAGACAGTCAGACTATTACCCAGATGTAGGAAAGTAAAGCAATTTAATAACATTGAAAAACACCAATTAACATTTATAACATGCAATGCAATGAGTGAACTTTTACAAAACACTGCAGTTTTCCCGATCAGGTTGCTAATGTTAATGAACAACAGAAGTGATTCTGTTTTGGAGTGGCAGCATACTCAAAGTAGGGCTTAACAAAACCAATATAACACTTCACTATAGCACACTGAATTAGCGGTGCAGGTGGATGGCAAATATTAAAACCAGAGTAATCTGATTGACAAAAAGAAGCCTGTAATCCATTGCAGGTACTTCTGACAGTGACATAGTGATGCCACAGCTTCCATTTGCAGGATACAAATAAAAAAATAAAAAACCTTAGCTTTTGTTGATATTTTTTCATCATCTCTAAAAAATAATTGACATTGTATTACTAATTTAATAAAGTAGCAATGTAAAAAGGAACAGGCCCTCACTAATGAAAAGATCAACACATCCTTCATGTTTGTACCATAATGCATTCCTAAGTTTTTCTTTGTATGCTAGGGCTACTTCTTTCCCCTATCTCAGCTTTATTTTGAACAAACTGACAATAAATTGTATTGATCTGCTCATTCTTGGTTTGTAAAACTCAACACACTGGTGGTTAAATCCAATTTAATCAAGACTGGGTTATGCGTATAGTTATTTAATGATATCAACCTGTAATAGATTACATTTCTGAAACTTTTTACCCCAAATCTGCTGAAGCACCGCTTGGCTGTTACAGTAAATGTGTGATTTAAACTAACAGCTCAAATGTTTCTAAACAAGGTACAACTAAATAATATATCCTAACATCACAAGGAGATTCAGGAGCAGGAAGTGGTCTTTATAATATGCAATGATATGTGAACTGTCTTATTATTCTGTCAGGTATAAAACCACTGGAAAAAAATAAGTTAATAAGCAAACCTTTATACACATCTTACATCATATTCAATGACTCCATTTCAAATATAAAAGGTCAGTAATATACGTTCCAATTGAAAAAATATCAACTTGATATCCCCACTTTGTCTGTGGCCTGCTACAAGGTGACACCAGAGGCAAAGCTGCATATAACGATGCACAGTGGAGAGGGGAGTACAAAGAGTACTGCAGCTGAAGGAAAGGAAATAAAAACAAAGCCCTCTAAAATTTTGAGTAATAATAATTATAAAAAAAGACACTCCACACATACAATATACACTATATATACACCGTATTTAGTAATGGTCATTCTGTTGCAACTTAACAAAACAGAGCTGTATAAAATGAGAATGGCAGTGTGCACTTGGCAACGACACATTACGTTTGACACAGAACTTGCGCTCCGCATGAATAATGTCTGTTTCCTGTTTTTCTTTTTTTGTTCCGACAGCTTTCGTGGAAACTGGATGGCCCGTTCTGCTCCTCATGCTGGGGTCTGAATGGTGGCTTTGATCTCAGCGGACGCCCTCTTCTCCTTCCGCCCGGCGTACTCGCCGATAAAGGAGCCGTCTTCGTTGAATTGCGCGTCCTCATCGCCGTAGTCCACCAGGCTGTCCCCGCTTTCCACCGCTTTGATCTCCCTGCTCAGCGAGTGTTGGCTGCCCTTCAGTGGCTTCTCGTCGTTGTCGCTGCGAGAGAAGCACAGTGGATTTAGAAGCACCTCATTTCACCCATGGCTTCACTCTGTAGCTTGTTGGAGAGGACGGGGCTGCTGCCTCTACAGTGAGCCTCTGTGATTGACATTATCCTTTACCTCTGGTTGACCAATGGTTTATAATCACAAAGATGCACGTGTTGAAACAAAATTAAAACATGAGCATACGCGCCTCATTTGATCAAGTGCCAACTGGAGAGCAAATGAGATATTAGGAGGTGCATTAAACTGGTGCTGGTGAGGCTACACACATGCTGTGGTCTTGTAATGCAAGACAACAGTGAAACGATTACAAAGGATGTACTGTGTAATATTGTCATGGGAATTCTGCTGACAGAGCTTTTGACATCAACTACAGGAGCACGGTGGACCAGCTAGCTTTTCATGAATTCAACCATAGCCTGATTCTAAGGAGATTATGGAAGCAACTCCTTAACCAAACTTCATGAAACGTGATTGGCCAAATGAAGAAGCCATTACATTTTTGGGACAGGACAGAGCATTAGATTTAGCAGAGGATGTGAATAGTTTCTGAGAGCAGAAAATGATAGATATGCTCGATAAATATAGATGTCGAGACAAAAACTGATGACTTTTAGCTCAGTAAAGTGAATAGCAGCCACCTTATTAAACACTTGAAACTTTGGTTGGGGCCATTTTCTGTCTGTCCTAGATTACAGTGACGTGATTTACAGCAGAGAGCACACTTGGCACTCAGTGACTTGAGTAGAAATCAATGGGAGTATTCTAAAATGCCTCTGCCATCAAAGAGCCAATCACCAGCCAAACTGGGAAACATTAGAGTCATGCTGCTGCACTGTTGCATACGCTCAGCTGAAGTACAGTTCAGTGGTGCCAGGGAGATTTAATCTTTATCATCCAAGTTTGTTTTTTATCATTGAACAGATCCAGGTTAGGTTTACTTCATCAATCAAGTTTGGGCTCTTTCTCCATTTATTTAGATGGACCTCCAAAATAACTGTCCACATAACAGGCATTGCCAATACATGCTTTTACAGGAGCGTTGCTTATAGACATGCTCAACTTGAGTCCCTCTTTATCCTTTATTATTTATAGTCTTCATCATTGCATCTTCCATGAAAACGTTGGGTAATCAAAGATGATGCGGACGTGTTACTGTTTATCTGTAAGATTCTCACTGCTTCTGTGCTAAACCAGCGCACTGGGCCACACTGCACTCTAAAAATGAATTTATCACAAATCACATATTAATAATCACAAACCACCAAATGTTTGCACCTGTATCATTCGTGTCCTTGTTTCCTTCACTCATAGAGTTTTGTTTTGTTGGGTTATTTTTTAATTATTTTTTTTTTAAATCATTTGTACCCGTTCCATTTAAACTGCTGTTCGGCACCAATCTTTCCATAATGAAATAAATTAATATCTCATTATTAACACTCACCCACATCTGAGATTATATATTGTGGTTACTGACCTCATTATTTCCTGCCTGAGGCCAGTGCCTTTCTGTAGTCTTGTGGTCACTGTGAGGTTGAAGGTTAACTAGCACTTAATTTAGCTGAGCAGTACCTGCTTCAGCTTTGACTCAAACTGTGTGCTAAGCTAACAGTTTCTTTATTTTTCACTCCAAACTGTTGTATTAATCTTCTCATCTAAGTACCTGCAAGAAAGTAAACTAGCACATTTCTAGTTTATTCTTTGGACTAGTTAAGTAAACGCAGCCAATCAGTGAAAAGCCGGGCCACCTAGCTCCTGAAGCGAACATGACAAAGTCTAAATGCTGTCACACTGAGCCACTTTTGACTTCATCATATCAGCATTTGTTGTGCTGTGCAGATCCCACTGATTGGAGAATTACACTGGGACTCATACTGCGTTAGACTGTTATGAATTGGACCACTAAAGGATTAATGAAACGTGCCCCGATATTACTGCCCTGGAGATGAGCTGCTTTCAATTACACTGATTGGTTTTAGTGTCCTGCTGTGTGCCGGGCAGCTCGCGTTTAACTCCATCCGGACAGAAAATGGCAACTTGTGAACGGTGCCGTGGCTCCCTTTATGATGCAATCTGTCACAACACACCAACACAACACCGTATCTATGATCACAACCTCCTATGAAGGGATGCTACTACTCTGACAACATTGACGTGTAAACAGCTTACTGCTGTTTATCACATACTTTCCAGTTACTCAGTCCATCAAATTTCTTCAGCTGAAGAAGTGTGAGGCTCCATGGTAACCTCACGCGTGCTGGAGTGTCTTTTCAGTGAGAGGAAAAGTGCAAAAAAAACATTACTGAGAGGAGAAGATGGATAAGACCGCTAATACAGGAGAAATTCGTTGGCAATTACGCGTGAATTGCAGCGAGGTGATGAAACGGCGCTCTGAGGGTGACACTTACCTGTATTCACAGAATGTGTCGTCATTCATGCCCTGCGACTCCACGTCTGGGTGAAGGTCTTCTTTTTCTTTTACTGCTCACAGAATAAAGAGGAGATATCAGCCATTTCCTCAAGAGATGACTGCCAGAGAAGATCACTGCGTCCCCCGACTGTTAACACTATCTGAATAAGTTTGAGTGTCAGTCCCTAATTCCCCACACTTACGCACCAATGATCAATGCAAGCTTTGTGTGTGTGTGTGTGTGTGTGTGTGTATATATATATATATGTTTAAATTTATATATTTATTGGGGTCTTTTTTCTCTTAAAGAGGAAAAAATGAAGCTTTGGTTTATGTTTTTAAATCTAAATGTTTTCCTTTTGCGAAGGAAAGGAGAAGGGAAAAAAGCACATGGCTCAGGCAAATGAAAGAAAAGGTTGTCGCTAATGAGAACTTAATGAGGAAACAAAGGACAGAGCTGCATCTCGCTCTTTATTTCTGCTGACGAGTGAAACGATCGCTGGCCAGACGACAAACCTGAAGGCCATTAGCCGTGAATAATAAAGCTGATAAGGACTCTCGTGTCCCCAGTAGGAGGACTAGTGCTGAGATACCACAGAGCTTCTGTCACTATTCACTATGCAGCCTGCTCATGTGCAGCATTTGCATTTTGTCTCGCTGTGGGCTCTGCACTTTGTTTAGATTGTTGGCTGGAAAAATAATGCAAAATTCAAATGCTGGTCATACAGTACAAATGCTTATTTTCCTTTCAATTCAGCAGCCTATTTTATGTATAAATTTGCATTATAATGGCCGGGGAAACCAAAAAAAAAGGGAAAACTATCATCATACATATTCCGGTAATGGCTTCTGGGATGATTGATCATTTTTTTCATGTCAACAAACAACAAAATGGAACTATAATGATGCTCTGAGCAGCAATTAGTATTCAAGGAAGGTGATGAGCGTGTGTGCTTGTAAAGTGAGGACCTACCGGAATACTTCCCTCCTTTATTTCTGTTGACAAAGCAGGCGATCAACACAATGAGTGTGAGGAGAGCAATGGCGCACATCAGCCCGATAAACCAGCCCTTGGTAGATATTCCTCCGTGAATGCTGGCCAGACCTGAGGAGAACAATATTGGGTGACTTTGACTTGCCTTGGCCTTTTCATCAGGACACTTGATTGAATGTTTACATCGACGGAGCCTATCTGATGCAAAGGCAGCAGGCAGCAGGGCGCGCCGCTGATGGAAACGCTCCAATATTAATATTAAACAGCTAATCCTGCTTGTCTAATTAATCAAGTAAGGAACGCTGTACAAATGTAATTCCTTCTTAGTGAGCCAAATTAAATCCTCGTGACACCGTAAACGACCACACATCGCAGCCTGAGTCACCGTTCAAGGACACGCGAGTTGCACCTGTTCTTTTTTTCTTTAAAAGGGAGGTAAATTAGCTCTGCTTTTTTCATACTTTAAGCCATTTTTTTGTCCCCTTCCTCACCTGTTGGACCTGTAGTGATAACATCTTCAAATATACTAGAATTATAAACCCGGCTGTTAGGAATAAGGCGCACAGTGTACTCAGTCTCAGGTTCAAGGCCGTCAATGATGTGGAAAGTCTTAGAGGTGTTTAAGGCCTCTGTTATCTTCCAGTGACCCTCACCTGTGCAGAGGAGTGAATAATCAACAGTGTGTCAGTACACATGAAAACACACAACCGCCTTTATCTAATGTAGAAATGGTTGAAAAGACACAAAGGTGCAGATGTGTCACCTACTGTTTTATTCTACTCTACTCATAAACCAACAGAGATTGAGCTTACGGTTGTTCATATATGTGATATAAAACTCAGCATGCTCTCCTCCAGATCTCCAGCTGATATTTGCAGAGCTGTCGCTAACAGCAGAGCTAACATTAAACAGGGTCGGGACTGACGGGGGGATAAGACGAGATGAGGAAAAGAAATGGAGAAATGGCAGAGAAGGGTTAGTAGAGGACAAAGCAGATCAAAGTGTTAGCAATCGTGTGTGTTTACAGGATAAAGGATGCTTTCTAAGGAAGAGGCAAGCGTGCTCCTTCCTAACACTAGGCATCAATTACGTCTGACAGAAGGGGACGTTGGGTCACTCTCACAACAGGACAAGAGTAATGTGGATAGGGAAATGGAACCACAGGTGGAGCCTGCAAAGCTGAATGGCAATCTACTAAAACCTGAAGAGCGATTTAACACCAAAGACTGCTGCATGATGGACATTTCACACAAGCAGAAATGAATGAAACATGGGAATGAAGTCAAGTTACCCCTACAACATGTTAATAAGACACTTTTTCCCCTGAGATTTATTATGGTTATTTCACAGTCCTGGAAGTTTTAAAGTGTTAAAAACAGTCTTTGGCCAAACCGGTGTCACTGCCTTTCTGTATTTCATCAATGAACAAACAAAAAAAAATGTAATCCCAGCAGCTGAAGCCAGACAATGTTGGGCATTTTTCTAGGTAACTCAAGGTAAAGTGCAAATTATTAGAAACTCAACAAGCAGAAAAGCTTTTTCAGCTTTAATGTTGAATGAAAAAAATATTTCAGTGTTTAATTTAATTTAGTGAATTAATCAATTCACAAAGTTTTCAGATTAATAATTAGCTTAAACAAATCCAGTTTTTATTGCTCTCTTCCTGTTAAAGGGGAGTTCTTCCTCTCCACAGTTGCCAAGTGTGTGCACATAGAGCAGTGGTCCCCAACGCCCGGTCCGTGAGTTGTTTGGTACCGGGCCGAAAGTTGAGGCTCAGGTGTGAAATTTTCAGGGTTTTTATCATTAACTCGGTTTCCGAGTCTGGGTCTTTTCCCGCGTTGTAGTTGTGTGTCTTATTTTGAAAGAAATGTTTACGCATTACCATAGTGACCAGAGAGCATTAAGGCGCAGAGAGGAAATGCTCCTCCTGAAATGTGCCAACTCTCAGTGTTGTTGGCACATTCCAGGAGGACGCTGCTAATAAAGTTACACAATTACACAGTGAATTTGCGTTTATTATTATATTTACAAAATATCACAGTTTTTGTCTTGGTCGTATCATTTTATTTTGTTGTAATTATCCGCGACACCTTAAAGGCTGGTCCGTGAAAATATTTTGTGTGTTCTAGCTTCATCTACCTCAGACATACCTTTCTAGGTGCTTTTATCCTTCTTATCCTCAAACAGAGAAAGAGGGAAAAACAGTAATTGATGAGCATGATTAGTATGGGAAACGTGTGCTTTGACAGCAGCTGTCTAAGCTAGTCAACAAAGCACAATCCACTTCATTTCACCACAGCAAACATGCAAATCTTCATCTGTGCCTCAAGCTCAGGTGCTTTATTTGCTCAGGTGATAATTCAGTTCACAAGAACACCTGTGTCTGGGCTGTCCATCCCAACAACTGCAAATGACACTCTCTGACTAATGTTGATGGATTAGTCACCAGCTATAGCAATTCTAGTCATTGCAAGTGTGTGATGACTTCGACTGACATAGACAATCTGAGTTAAAAATATCCAGAGGCTTGCTGCCGTGTTTTGTCACCATGTTCCTCAGCTTGCTATTACCTTCTGCAGAAAGCAGCTGCTCACCCAGCAGGGAACGAATGCCCTGGAAGATACCCCTTCAAAGTCAGAAATCTTTTTTTTTTAATAAGGAGAGACCAGAAAATATTCTGATACAGGAGCTTTCAACAGCTTCCACTTATCTCAGTGTCCTGTAAATATCACCCTCCCAGTATGAGCTCATACTTCTCTGCATGGCTCAGGAGGATGTGTCTCTCTGTCCCCGGACCTCTTCTTGTCCCAGAGGTGTGTTGCTGTTTACCCAGTTGAAGATTACATGGAAATGTCAGGTGACTGCTGGGTCAATACACTGCCACACAGAGGGCTGAATGGGGCCCAACAAATCAATCACTTACAATTAGACATATCTGTCCTGTTCAAGTGACTGCACTCCACTGCCACACTGTGGGGTCGGGATATAGATCTAGTATGCTAGATTTCCCGGTGGTGTAGCAGAGAAATGAAAGCTTACAGTACAATATGGCTGCCATTTTACATTACAAACTAGTTGAAAAAAAAATTCCTGAAGATGCTATCACATTAAAATAGTCAATGCTCCTCTGCATTTATCCCTCAGCCTTTGCTGTCGATGCTGTACGGTTAAGGCTTTGCTGTGTCAGAAAGTGCTGTGGCTCTACCTATGGTGGAACGAGTGGGTTTGGTCACAGGGGACTTTGGAGTGCTTGGAGGTGAGGGGGAAGCTGACTTGCCTGAAAAGAAAAGACAGACCTTGTGGTTATCAATTGGGGCAAGGGCTTGAGGTGCTATCGTCTACTGTTAGCATGCATGCTGTTGTTAAGTACACTCTAAAATTAGTGACTATGCAATCTGAAACACGATCTAGAGTTTCAAAACTGTATTTCACACTTCTGAGATGTGCCTTTTCATTTTTACTCCAGTCCAAAAAAAGAAAGAAAAAGGGATGAGCTTGTGGCGTGTCTGATGCTCTTACTGCGGTTGGCTCTTAAGGCATCATTTATTACCCCAGCTTGTTGCACCGAGCCTGCCGTTGCTAGGAGAAAAGTCAATATTCGTTTACAGCTGCTAATGAGCCAAGATTAATATGAATTTATAATTAGGTTACTCATTACCAATTGTTATTAGAGAGGAAGCTGCAAAACTTTATCTAAGAAGAAGTTGACGGTTTTCTAATGAAAGGAGGCATCAGAGTGCTCTCTGCTGATGGCAAGGGCAAACAGCAGACAAGGTCAATTATGTGCAGAGAGGCTGAGTGTTTAGGGCTGCTAACTTCTGCATAGGACAAATAAAAAGTGTCCAAATGTTTGACAGTCAAGTCCCAATGATTTATTCAGCCCTACAGCAGCTACACACATCCATATTTCTAAACCTAAAAGCATGCAAGCACTACTAAAAAACAAAATGGTGAGCATGTCATACTAACATGAAAGTTATTCTATCACTATTTCAGAGCAGTTTGACGCTCTCTATATGTGTACATATGACATGCCACAGTTGCTGCATAAACAGATCTACATACTGAGGCCAACAGCAGGAGCCAAAATGGAAGCTGCAGAAAAGAAAAAAAAGAAAAAAGACAGAAGGGACAAGCATTGCATGGCTAAGCAGACGTCCACGTTCACAGGCACATTTATAATACACACTGCATGATCAAAGCTACATCTCAAAGCAATGCACTATTTTAGTGGCATATGTGAAAGCAAGCAGAGGACCATTAAGACAAATCCTCACACACACACACGTATGCACACAGTGATGGAGGTGTTACCACAAATAGCTTTCATGCGCAGACCTTGAACCTCTCCCCCGCACATGTAATAGTCTGACAAAATTGCAACTCAATACATATAAAATGAGCCATTCTTCCTGTAATCATCTCTCTGGCGTTTTTTTTCCCCACCATGCAAATAAACAACCCCTAAGAGCCAATTAAGTGTCTTTCTGTGATTGTGAGGATTCTTACAGTAAACAATAAGTAATCGCTTGCATATTAAGCACCTGTGCTGCACTTCAAAGTTGAGAGTTCTGCTTTTACATAACACAGTCTGAGTGACATACTACATTCATTTTCTTGTCCATTTGTATTGAAAGAGCCACCTGCTTATTTCTTATGACTACAGCGCATTTAGTGATACTTGCAAAAAGCTTCCTGCTTCAATCACTCGTACCACCGACCACAATCACAGGAGCTTGGCTTGAGTTTGAGCCAGATGAAGTATGGTGTGTGGACCTCGACTAATGATATGTAATTAAAAGGCAAAGATTACATGTTACAAGCTGGCTTATTATGATGACTTACCCGGCAACTCTTTCATGATTGCACAATTCAGTAATAAAAGCTTCAGTTTCCTTTCTGCTCAAAGCAATTTTCTTTCTCAGCTGATTGTTTCATAGCTCACGCTCTCTGTCCAATCAATAAGCACTTGCTCTCTCATGACAGTGACAAATGAAAACCTCCACTGCAGCCATATGAAATTGTTTATCCACAAAAATTACTTACATGGAGATATGAAAAGCTTGGCTGCTCAGGCTTATATCATATTGCACTAGTTCAATGCCACATCGAAATGGTAAAATGACTCTGTCACCTGCTTTGCTTAGCCTCGGTTCACCAGAGCAAATTGCGCTCCTCAGAGCTCATCCGCATTCCCAATGTTCCCCCACTGAGAAAGCGCCACGCTCAACCAGCCCCACGCCCACGCAAGCTTATCCGCACACATAAAGCCCGATCGGCTCGGCTTTCTGGACCTTCAAGCACTCACTTGTTTCCAGGGTGGTGGTGCACTCGTCGCTGACGTCAGGCCCGCAGCCCACCGTGGTACAGGAGCACAGGTAGAACTTGTATTTACTCAAAGGCTCCAAGTCACGCAGGATCCACGTGGTGGTCTCAGGTTTGCTAATATCTACTGTCTGCAGTGGTCCCACTTCTTCTGTGTCATTGACTAGAAGTAAGGCAAGGAAAAAAAATACGTAAATGTAAGTATTTTGTCACAGTCACCTAACAGAAGGCAAAGGGAAAAACAAGGGAAAACTCTTACACTTACACTGCATTACGTACAGTGTAAAATATCAGGATTGTCTGCACCTACAGTGTATTAAGCATAGCATCTATATAACATACAGACTTAGCCACTGTGACTTCACCCACTGGCTAGAGAAGTCCTGTTGTGAAGCCTCACATTGCTGTGTCTTGCTGCTGATGATCATGTGGATATTCTCAATGAGAAACCGCTCCTGTGGTAGTTATTTTAGGGTATTTTCACACCTGTGGTGTTCAAGTTCATTTAACTTGGATTCTGGTTTGTTTTACACCTTGGTGTGGTTCATTTGTGCAGACGTGAGCACAGTAATCAAGACACTTTGGACGGGTTGGTCCAGAGCAGTTTCTTTATGACGTGACTGTGATCTGACCTCAATCCGACCCAATTACCAGGAGTACATTGCAGGTTCAAGGTAAAAAACTTGCCGTAGCTATCCATGCTTTATATTCAGAAATGCAGCACAGATGTACAAAGGTCAGTACAGACTAACAGACTAGCAACTAGTCGTGACAGAAACGTAAATTCTCCATGTTCTCCAATAGTCCAAAACACAGCACGTTCTTCCTGTATGCTGCTCATTGCATCTGGTTCATCCACCTTTAATATACAGCTTGTGGTCGCGAGAGGAATTTTCTCACTCATTTTAAATTCATACACAGTAAGGATCATACAATGTAACTATGCAGAGTCTTCATATTCGATACATGTACCATAGTAAGAACACTTGTTTCACAGATTTCAGTCCCTTGAAAACACAGCTTCCTTACCTAGTTTGTTTTTACATTTGAAGAGGTGTTTTTGCCTGACAGGCAGCATACTTTATATTAGTACTACACTCCCACATTGTTTTTTCCCATCTCCAAAAGGTGTCAGCAATTAGTTCTGCTGGAAGTACTTGTGCACGCTGTATACAGCCTGATGAAACTCAAAGAAGTTTGTGTCTTAGTGACAACATATTTGTTTACTTTTCTGATCTACTGATGTGACCACACATGAACATGCATCTAAGCCTCCACATTAGAAAACCATTCTTTCCAGCTTTTCTTAAAATATAATGTTTATACCAAAATAATTCTGGTCATGATAGTTTATCCATACATATAGAATTTTGATTTCTTTAATTTTGACATGATTGATATCATAATGTCGTTACCCTCTTATCCCATACTCTGCTCTTCCTTGTACCCAATGCCTTTTTGTTCTTCTATTTTATTTTATTTTTTAACTTTTGACTGAATGACTCCAGTATTTTGACACACAGTGAAATGTTTGACTGTGCCTTGTTTTTGGGGAACTCTCTAGTGGCCTTTCAAAATACTTCCAACTGACAAACACAGGACATTTCAGCTCTGCCAAAAAAAGAAAAGAAAAAGCAAATGTCACTTGTCATTTTGGTTTGTACATTTCCTGTTTGGGCTTTAAAAAAAGAGGCAACTTGTTCTTTGCTTTTTCAGGATTAATCCCTCTATAATGTCTCCATTAACAAAAAAAACAACCCTGAAACAAAACAAAAAAGAAAATTGTGCTCCACTAATTTATGGTTGCAATTTGTTTGAGTTTTTGGTGTGTGCTCTCTGCCTACATTGTGATGGGATCTCATTTTTCACTACGTAAAGCAGCCCAGTAGGTAGGGAGGTGGCATTCATGTTCTTTGTGACAAAAACAAACACAGCAGGTGTTGAGGTGACCTTTGCTGTGAAAGAGGTGCCACGTCTCTCAGGTAGAAGGCAACAGAAACAATGACAAGAATGTATTGGTCTGCTTCTCTTATTTGCCTGGATGCCACCCGCTGTTATCAGACATCCTGATTTGCTTTAGTTTTTTGTTTTTTTTGCTCAGTTTTATTTCCAGGGACAAAACCACTCGAATTTTAGTATATTATGCAATCAACTCTGGTACAAAAAAAGAGGCCACAAGCATCATGTTTCCACCCTGCGGTGGCATTACTTTCTCACTTTTACGGCAAAACTCGGACCTGACAGCTGGTCCGTATGATCTTATGGAGTGAACTGGCTGAAGGCTTCAGACTTTGGCGCTTCTACTAATGACAAATAACAATATTTCCAAATATTCTTCATCCTAGCGGGCCAAACGCAGTTGGCTTTGAGGAGCGTGACGCAAACCAAGACTCTCCAGCACTGAAATGTGACCTGACAGCAAGTGTGAGTTCAGCTCAAATGGGAGAAAAACAGACAGTTTTATAGCCAAGGTCATTTTTAACTCCCACTCGTGTCGATATAGCAGTTCAACGCAGTACAAACTTCACTGGAACGGTCTTAAGTGCTCAAAAATATGTGCCTATCTCAATCTGCATCACATATAATTGGAAATAAAGTGGATATTTTATGAAGCCTTGAGTGGATTTTCAGTGCATAACAGTGAAATGATCTGTGTACTCAGGATTAAAGACTTCAATATGACAAAACAGGTTGAGTATGAGCGCCCATCTGTACTTTTATGACAATCTTATCTTTGCCTTGTCAAGCTCCCTGAGAGACAGTCAGACGGGTGTTTAGCCTGTACTGACATATGATGCCCCGGGCTTTAGAGCGGGTTAACAGCTCTTTAAGGCAATGTGACTATATGCCACCCACTCAAGTTATGAGGGTGACTTTACTCAGTCTTTACATTCATGCAAGCTTTAAGTGATTCAGAAAAGAACTTGATAAAAACTTGTTACTGACTGCAGGTAGAGGGAAAATGTTTATGATTTCCACATCTCCTGGTGTGTGTCCCACACAACTAGATCTTATGTTTTTCCCCTGCCGACAGTTTATTTTTTCCATTTCAAATTTGCCAGTGGTACTGCAGTGGATCCAAGAAAGTGCAGAGCAGAGTTTGAGGTTGTTTGGCTGTGCAGTTTTCAGATTGGGTATTTTAACAAAAAATTGTTATCAGTGTTTCCCCTAGAGTGGCAGATGTCCAATCTGTGAGGGGGGGAGGAGAGGATCATGCACACACATAGACACACCTGCGGCCACGTAGTGAACAGGTACACACACACGGACACATTCAGTGAGTGTATCCTTCAGGCTCTCCTCTTTTCAAATCAGCAGGTTCATGATTACGTACACGTGAAAGATTTAAGGGACATCTGTAAATTTGGGTTACTCTCCCTCTAAAGGGGAACTGCACTAGTTAAAGTCACGAGCTGATATCACCATCGAAAGGCTTTATCCTAAAAACGTGTTATTTCAAAGCAGGTTAGTTTAAGTGTTTTAAACCCAGCGTCGATCCGGCTTGCGTTAAACAGTGTGTTACAACGGGGCCTCTTGTGAAACCGGTGAAATGTGAAGCTATTAAAGGCTGCTGTGAAGACGAGCATAGTCTTAAACAGCTGCGCCGTAGCTTGAGATGACTTGTGTCACTGATGATACACTGACAGCTGGCTGCATTATCCTCAACGTTTCACACATGACTTCCTTCAAGGGGACTTCAAAAAAAGAAAAAAGTCACACTTCAAAGAGTCCATCAGCTTTATTGCTGTGGCACAATGAAAACGTCCTCTCCTGAAATACGGCGTGACGCTGGGTCCTTTTTTTGTGCTGCCGCCAAATCAAACTCAATTAGCCGGGAAATGCAGCACTAAGACGTTGTTGGAAGTTAGTCATTAGCTTCGTTATGACTTTTATTTAAGGACAGCACAGTGTGTGCACACGTGGGATGTGTTCAGGGATGATGTCCCCTGGGACAGAGCTACGCTGAGGACGTTTCCTGCAGACAGGATGGGGTCAGTAAAACCGGACCTTAACAGACTGTGACTCAGAGGCCTTGTTCAGCACTAGCCGAGCCGCGATCATGACACAGGCCAGTAGACACCACCCTGACATGGTTCCTATACACACACTCTGACCCCAGCCTTATTAGAGCAGAGTAGCAATTCTTCTTTCTGTGTAAAGGATCATGGGTTAGACAATCACCACTTTCTTCTTTTCCCAAGAAACTGTTCAGGTACTGCACATACTTGTCTGCAGTGCAGTATTGTGTAGAGGATAAGGTTTGAAACAGTTAAGCCGATATGCAGTCAGTGAAATAGATGGCCTGTTTGTTTTCTTTACAGAGTACAAGCTGAGGGTAAACTCTATTAAACACAAGATGAAAAACACATCATCTTCTCACAGCAATACAGAAACATCACCATTATATGTGTGTTGATTAAGTGTAAGGATGAGGAATAGGGATACGTACTGAGATGGTACTTAAGGAGGTAGCCAATGAGAATCCCATTAGGCTCCAACGGCGGCTCCCAGGCCAAAGAGACAGTGTGCCTCTGTACATCTGTGACCCTGAAATCATGATTTTTCTCTGGGACTGCAAAGGCGTGCACAAACACACACAACACACACACACACACACACACACACACACACACACAC